TGCATCCAAAGGCATTCAGATACTCCCAGGTAAGGTTATCCTCACTCATGTCATTGTGTACTAAAAAGAGGAGATGGCAGAGCCAAAGGAAGAAAAGAATAGCACCACTTCACCCATCCATGGCTGTCTTCATCTAAGGCCCAGCAAGCACTTTCTGAATGGGCCTTCTAACCAACCCTGTGAGACCTATCTTATGTACGTCTATAGCCCCTTACCATAGTATCTGAGCATCTCACATGCTTCAGTGAAGTTATCCTCACAACACTCCAGTGAAGTAGGGAGATGCTATTATCTCCACTGTACCCCTGGGGATCCCAGGCAGAGAGATTGAGTGATTTGCCCAAGGTCACACAAGAAGTCTGCACTGGAGAAGGGAACATGAGCTCTAGTCTTTCAGGTCCCAACTTAGCAGCATATCCGCCTGTTCATGTCAGACAGGTGTGTGTTATCCCTAGTTCACTGCTGGGGAAATAGGAAGCACCGAACAGTTCAGTGACTTGCCTAAGAGCCACCAGCAACGCTGGGACTTCTACTCTGGGCTCGTTAGCCCCCGTGCTGCCCTCTAACTTGACAACACTCCTTCTACCAGAAAGTCTTTAAATCGTGAGAGAAACGTGATCAGCGGGATTTCCTTGGAGGCACAGCACAGCACTGGAGGGGAACAGAGCATGCCAGCAGTAGGACGTATTGCAGGGAAGAGTGTGCCAACATTGGGATGTAGTTACTGGGGAAGAGTACACTTGCTGGGATGCCCTGGCGAGTGATCTTGTTCTAGATCTGAAGATGGGGAGGGGCTGGCTGTACACACAGCTGGTAAGTTGGTTACACTGTATGATCCAGAGGGTGGAATTGTTTGGTTTATTGAATGATGACAAACCTTCCTGCCTGATGCCTGGAGTGCTGGTGAAGCTCCCTTCTCTTCTTTCCATTGTGAAAGGCTTATGGAAGGTCCTTTGTGGAGATGCATGGAGGGGCTGCTGCCTTGGCCCTTTGGGAACATGTCTGAATTCTGGAGGAAGGGAAATTAGGCAACAAATTCTACTCTGACAATTGAGTTGTGCCCAGGCCTGCAACATTTCAGTCGTGGGTCTCAGAAAACAAAGAGCACTTCAGACATGCCCTAGAATCCCCCTCAATACAGCATTTTCATTTCTGAAGTGCCAACTCAGTTTTTAAAATATCCTATTAATTTTAATTCCTTAGGCTTAGGACTTTTCACAAGAGCAGAGAACGATACCCAAGAGAGCGGGTTTATCAGGTTAATAATATTTTACATAGCTAAATAACCCCTGCAATTTCAACTGAAAAGAATATTCTCTAATTCCAGTCATTAAAATGTTGCTTTGTATTGTTAACAGCTGCTGCCTTTCACCTCAGAGGTGGCTGCATTTCAGTGGTGCACAAAGTGATCATTATATACATCGTGTCTTAATAAATCCTCGACCCTCATTTAGTGGTGAGAAAATTTTGTTGAAGTTAAACATCGCTATAGAATTTCTCAAAGAAAATAAACCTTATTTCCTCTGTTGGATTCTAGCAGATTCTCTCTTCTCTGAATCAACTGGTTCTCTTATTTGTTTCAGGACACCAGGAATATATTTTTTTTAAATTTGAGATTATTTCCCCCCCCTTCTGATGACTGGAACTTCTGAGCCCTACATGTACAATATACAAATAATCATTACAACTCTACCCATTTAACTGTTTATCCCACACTCATACAGCTATACGCATCTTCTTTTATTTAACACATCACCCGCAGAAGACACGTAGATATTTATAGCATAATGTGTGTAATTTACATGTTACTCTGCAACCAATCCATGGCATCTAGATGTAGCTGTTCTTGCTGCCTTGGATATCTAGTGCCACCTGGAGGCAGCTGACATATTCTGGCATCAGTTGATTTCAAAGATGTGTGTACAGTGTCTAGCTCAGTTCATAATTCAAAGACTAGGAGGACCAGTGTGATTATCTAGTTTGATCTCCTGTATAGCACAGGCCATAGAATGTACCCAAAATAAGTCCTAGAGCAGATCTTTTAGAAAAACATCCAATCTTGATTTTAAAATTGTGAGTGACAGAAAATTCACCACAACCCTTGGTAAGTTGTTCCAATGGTTAATTACTCTCACCGTTAAAAATGTACACCTTATTTCCAGTCTGAATGTGTCTAGCTTCAACTTCCATGCATTGGATCGTGTTAGACCTTTCTTGGTTAGACTGAAGAACCCATTACTAAATATTTGCTCCCCATGTAGATACTCAGACTGTAATCAAGTCACCTCTTAACCTTTTCTTTGTTAAGCTAAATAGATTCAGCTCTTTGAGTTTACCACTATAAAGCGTGTTTTCTAATCCTTTAATCATTCTTGTGGCTCTTTTTTGAACCCTCTCTAATTTATTAACATCCTTCTTGAATTGTGGGCACCAGAACTGAACACAGCATTCCAGTAGTTGTCAAACCAGTGCCAAATACAGAAGTAAAATAACCTTTCTGCTCCTACTCAAGATTCTTCTGTTTAGGCATCCCAGGATGCATTCGCTCTTTTGGCCACAGCATCACACTTGGAACTCATGTTCAGCTGATTATCTACAAGGACCACACACACCCCTGCCCTCTTATTACTCAGTACAGCTGGAATTTTGTAGTCATCTTCTGCATGTCAGGACTGATGTGACCTTGTCGTGCTTTACATCATCTTTCTCTCTCAACCGCTCAAATGCAAGCTGCGTAATTTCAATACTGGGTTTTTCCTCTTTATTAACACCATGACCTAGGAAGAGCAGTGTTCTTTAAGTAATAAGCTTCCTTATGCAGCTCCTTACATGGACCTTAGACAGCTATAACTGAATAGGATCTATAGATTTCTAGGAATCAAATGTACTGCAGTCATGCCTAAATAACTTATCATTAAAATGAGCAAGAGACTGACAGTGCATGAACTAGTGGAAATGGGAATAATGTCTATTGTCCAGACCTGCTTGGGATTGAAACAAGCCATAGATAAAATATGTAGTACATCATTCTGGTAGGATATTTGTTTTTGTGTATGTTAAATAGGGCAGAGAACTGTTCCCCATAAGTAGTGAGAGGACTTAGTTAACACCTTTTCTTTGTGAGACACACTGAACTGGGAAAAGGAAACAGACTTTAGGATGGGAGAGAGAAACTTGATTTTGCCATATTCAGACTTGTATCTTAACACTGTGCAACATGAACTTGGCCCGGATTACCAAAACTTTCTGTAGTGTTTGACTAGCCAAAGTATTTTGTCCCTAATCCTCTTGTTTGTGTTTTTTCTTTCTGTAATTTGTCAATACATCTTGGTTTTAAGACATCCTGAATTAGGTGGTGGATACTAGCAATGGGGCAAATCACTGCTGGGTGCCTCAGACTGACTTCAGAAAAAGCAGAATAAATAGGTAACTGCTTGAGTGCAGGGTTGTGATCTCCCCCTCTCCAAACAGAGCAATGGAACTGGTAGGGAGAGAGCGAAGTTACATGAAGAGCTGTAATTAGCTGCAGAGACCACTGTTGAGCAAACACTGACAATCCTAACAAATTGGACTTATTTACTCAATGCAAATATAGCTTGGAAAGCTTTTTTGCTAGTGGAACAAATGTCATTATTCCTCATCCTTACGTGCACATTCATGACTTCTCTCCCCAAACTCCAATTAACAACTAAATGTGAACTTAGTACTGGCATGAAAACTGTAGATGCTAGATGTAAGTTTCAAAAGTGACTAGTAACTTTGGTTGCCTCACTTAAGGCATCTTGACTGTCAGAAAGTGCCTGCCTTTGAAAAATTAGGCCCCTTTAAAACTGTCAAGTTGGGCACCAAAAACTGGATGCACCCAAATCATTAGTCACTGAAATGGCCTAAGTCCTATTCAGAGAGCAACTACAGTCTATGCATCAGCACTTCAAAGTTACAGTGTAACCTTGTACTGAGTGCAATCCACCGCTCAGTGATGGAGTGTTTCTTTGGACATTAGGGCAGGATGAAAATATTCAAATAAATCCACTTAGACATGAAGTAGCCACAAAGTTTTCAGCACTTAAAAAAAAATGCAAGCCAAAAAAAAAAAAGCAGGAGCTAACGAGAATGAGACTTCAGGAACTGTTTTTTTCCCCCCTTTACTTTACCTAATCATTTTTCATAAGGAAAATAGGGTGGGGGAATGAGTTTTAAAAGCTCTTCATAGTTCTTGCAGATATGTCAGTGTGCAAAAAAGGACCCAATGAAGTTGGAAAAGCCAGCTACATTTTTTGAATAGTGTTGGTGTCCACATATCTTGATTTAGGTAGAGCATTCAAGATTTCTACAGGAAGATCCAGGCCTACGATTACTTACACATGCAAAGTGCTGCTGCAGAAACAACCTCGGCAGGAAAAAGACTGGAGGTGAAGGGCAGAAGTTGGGTGACTATTTCTGCTTTTTTCCTTCCTCAATTTCCTTCTGTTAGTGTGTGAATTTCCCAAATTCAGCGATAAAGCTATCAGAACAGTTACCACCAAGGAATTTGAAACATTAAGTAAATATTCAGTGACAATTTATTTTCTGATCTTTATCATTTTACAAAAAAAGCAGGTATCAAAAAACAGCAAAGATTTTCACGAGTTCCTCACCAGTTTTACACAGCTGAACTGGTGTAAAAATGTGAATGTAAGACACAGGCTGGCTTTGCTCCTGGTCATACACATTCAAGGTTAGCCCTGGGCTGGGATGCACTGGGCCTTTGGAAATTTTTTATTTTAAAAAGCACCTCTTTTTTTGGGACTTGACTTGATTCACCCAAGTCACTTTGTACTGAAATATAACATGGAATGTGTACCTGTTGGGATCAGAAATTAATCTCTTCTGGATCCCATGTACCTTAACACTGATCAAGGGACTTTGCAATGGACACATTAGGCACCAGTCTGCATTTCTCAGATTACCAAAAGGCAGCTACTACATTGTGTTAGCTACAATCACTTTTTGCCCCCTCCCCCCATCCCAACATGCTGCAATGGGATTTAACTGTGTAACAGCCCCTTCTACTTTTCCTCATCAGGATCTCAGGTCCAAAAAAGGAAAGCTTCACTAGGTTCAAGCCCAGGGGAAATGGACCTTCATCCTTAAATACGTCATACAATTGTGTTGTGATGCCTTAGACAATTCTACAACAGTGTGACTCTCCCATTGTGGACCCAAGACTTGAATGATCAAAGGAAACCAAGATAAACCATAAATGTGAGATAGGAAAAAATACTCAACTCACTGGATGGATATTCTGGTTCTTTTCTGAGCCAGAGCTTGTTCTTCCACTGTACTTGTGCTGTAGGGTTCAGAGTTTGACCAGGAGAAGCATAGTCCAGTTTCCATTAATAGCTGCACCATCTTTTCAAACATACAGCTTACATTGAACACTGCCTGGTTAGCTAAAGAATTAAGACACTGCCCTGAGTCCCTCAGTATCTGCTTGGAAAGTCAGGTCAAAATCTGGCATGATAATACATGAATGCAAATCATCTTACACAAAGACTTGTGTATATGTCACTGAAATGCTTTTGAGAGTACCAAATACTCCTATTAGAAATAAAATGGCACCTCTATTATTACCCAAACAGCAAAAGGAAATCAGATATGCATATTTTGTCATAGATATGAAAGAGGAAGCAAGAAGGCAAGCTGAGAGACAGATGCTACCCCCAGGGCAGCAGTGGCATTTGGTTGTTTTGGTCATTGTACCAGCATTTTGCACACCCACGGCAGGCAGTCACTGGCTGCTGAACTTAAACCGTTTTTCTGGCAGTCAAGACACGGACAATGGACCCTACACCTCCAGCAGCGAGAGCCTGAAAACAGAGAAGTAACAGTTAATACAAATAACAGACTTAAAGTAATAATACTCAATACAGTTAATACTCAATAACTGACTTAAAAGTGGCAATTCTTCAACAACAAAAATTCAAAACCAGACTCCAACAAGAAACTGCAGAACTGGAATTAATTTGCAAACTGGACACCATCAAATTAGGCCTAAATAAAGACTGGGAGTGGATGGGTCACTACAAAAACTAATTTCCCCCTGCTGATACTCTCACCTTCTTGTCTATTGTTTGAAACAGGCCACCCTGTTTACATTGGCCTCATTACCACTACAAAAGTGATTTTCTTCCCTTGGTATTCTACTGTGAGAATAGCCCACTTCCACTTTAACTGAGCTGTTTCATTAGCACTGACCCCCCCACTTGGTAAGGCAACTCCCATCTTTTCATGTATTGTGTATATATGCCTGCCTACTGTTTTTTCCACTCCATGCATATGATGAAGTGGGTTTTAACCCACGAAAGCTTATGGCCAAATAAATTTGTTAGTCTCTAAGGTGTCACAAGTACTCCTCATTGTTTTAGTTAATACAAATTAACCGATAACACAATAACCACAGACAAACAATTACTACTTGGACTTCAGTACGTTTCATCTGAACATCTCAAAGTGTTCTACAGACACTAATTAGCAGCATTCTGCAATAGGGAAGCATTACTACATTCATTTTATAGATGGGGAAATGGATTCAGGCATTAGATAACTTGCACAAGTGTCAGATTCACTGGGGGAGTCAGGACACTTGGGTTCTATTCCCAGCTAAATCCCCAACTTTGACCTTAGATTATACTGCCTCAGTGCAAGATGACAGTTTCTAGGAAATGTGCAATGGCTCATTTTCATTCTTACCTAATACATGATCAAACTTCACCTCTAAAGTCTGCATGGATCAATATGCTGTAGAAAGTGTGCATTAATTTCACATGGTTCCCTGGGGAACCTTGTCCTTCCCACCCCAACTGTTGCAATATGAATGCTGGAATTTTAAGAGGAAGGAGGATGATTCTTATTGGACTCAAGACAGAGTCATGGATGTAAGGGTCTCTGCTAATGCAAATTATCAGGCCAAATGCAACTGAGACTTAACACACCTTTTCATGCCACTGCAGTAACACAGCACTGCTGTTGTCAGAGGGGCTCTCAAACCCCTTGTAGATGTATTTCATTAGCAGATCAACTCCATTCTTGTCCAGAGACTGTACTGCCTTTTCAATATCATTGGCTTTGAAAGAGATGAGGACTTTCAGGACAATGCTTTCTGCACGATCCTGTAAACAAGGGAAAAAGTCAACCTGGAACTGAGCTGATCGATACGGACATGGTCTGCGGCCAAATGTTAATGATCTCTCAACTCTGGGAGGTAAAACTTTTCTATTCTTAACAATAGAAAAATGTTCAGTTAAGGCAGCTCAAACACATACCAAGTTGTCAAGCGTACTGTGCACCTCTGTCCTATGACAGAATGACCTCAACTATATGACTTTGCTATACACATCTGTAATTCTAAATGAATTTCAATTTCAATTTACAGCTAACATATGTAATTAATTTGAAATTAAGTTTTAGATAAGTTAAACAGGTAGCGCCCAGTTGGACGAAGGAAGCTAGTCTCAAAAGAGACTCATTTTCTTCACTGGCTTTGTAACAAGCTTGTTCTCTTCTAGGTTTCTATCTCTGCTCACCAAGCTTGGCTTTTGTTTGCGGGACTCCACCCATAGTACTGTATAAGAGCTGTACTGAACTTTATCACTGTTAATGTTCATGCACAGGAAAGTTCAAAAGAAGTTGGAACTAATAGGACTAAGGGTTTGATTGGCTTTCCTCTCACCTCTCATTTTACATTTTGTCTAGATGGACAGCTCTGCTGTGGAATAGAAGTGATCTTAAAGGAGTCTGCTCTCAAATTTCAGAAGTATCCCTACTCAGCACTGTCTGAGCTTTGCTCAGCTAATACCTTAAGCTTTACTCTGCATTATCCTTCTCTTCCCTCATTGACTACTGTATTATAACTACCGCTTTAATTCTGTGTACAAAATGTTTTACAAAATCCTTGGAAAACATCTTTAAGGCCCGGTCAGCATTACCAGCATGAAGAAGTTCCTGGTAATATGATTGCTTAATCTACACAGGCCAACCCAAACATTTGAAGCCGCAGTTAAAAGAAGCTGAACTGTCACATCCATGCTGAAATACAACTGCTAGCACCAAATGTTTCAGGTAACTGATTTTGAGAACTGACCTTGATGCCATTTCAGGATCAAGAATTTGTGTAGCATGGTTAGGTCTTTTCATCACCCATTCTGTAAGCATCGTCCTCCCCCGCCCCACCCCCCAAAGTAATTTTCTTCCTCTGTTCACTCAACCACCACCTGAGAGGTATCAATATAAAAAACCTTAACTGTCAGAATGGATTCCTTTTGTGTATAATCCCACTGAGCAAGTACTGTCTGCAGTTGCTTCCCAAAGGAATTATAGCCATTATCTTTCCCAATAAGCAGACACATCCTGCAGCCATTTGATGTAGTGATACTTCTCAGATATGTAGCAGAAATAGTAAGCAGAAACAGTGATTTGGTGGGAGGTTATATCCTAAAATAAGAACGAAGCCAAGAACAAGCTCACGAGACAGAGCTGCCGGATCTGCAGGTTTTCCCAAGGCTTTGGCGACACCAGTCATATTTTAAGTCTTTTTCCAAGTGGAAAAAACACTTTGTACAATGGGACTACCTTGTACAGCAGATCTGCCCCATGTGTACTTCACTGTCAGAAGTTTTAATACTTTACTACCGTTAGCCCTGCAGAAGCAACTTAACTGTGGGACAGCAAGTTAAATTTGTTTGCCTTCTACATCAGAATTACAGTAGCCCCTATGCAACCCCATTGTCTTTATATTATACTATCAATGACACCAGTGCAATTGTAATGAAAGACACACTGTCACAGATGTAAAAGAGGGCAAAATTACCTGCAGAATCTCTTACTTGATGATGCCCTTGATACCAAGATTGTTAGGTGATGCTCAGAACCCCAAGTAAATTTGTAGGGCTGGCAGTTGGTGGAGAAAATCTTTACTGGGAAGTTTGGTCTACTGTTACAAACAAACATGGAATCCTACAGATATATTCTTACAGAGTGAATGCTTAGAGTAGAACGCCACAGCTGTGTGGGTGGCTACAGTATGGTAGATTCCTATAGCTTATCTGTGGATCTTTCAGTCTGCTTTGGGCATCCATAACACTCAAAACTAGTTTTTGGGAGCCTTGTCCGACAGGCAAGTATGTGTGCACAGTATAGTCAAAGCTCTAACCAAAGTGGGAGTGCTTATATTTTCTAAGTTCTTATTGTTAGCTAGAATTATGGACTGGACACAGTAGCTAATCAGTGCCTACTGTTTTAGGGCCTTTTTCGTAGGCCTATTTGGGCAGAGTATAGTTTGGCAACAGGGAAACGCTTAATCAGTCTCAAAGAGAGGGGAAGTGAGAAATCTATAGAGGGCAAGGAGAATTAGGAAAGCATCCACAGTATGGCATATAAATGAGAGTTATTGACTACTTCACCTTTACTGCTTGGTTCTTGGTGTTGATTGGAGGATTCTTCAGGGCTGCCTGCAATGCAGCCATCATGTTCCCTGTGAACAATGGTTAAGGAAAGATGGGGAAACAAGGACCTAGAAAGCAGTAGAGCTAGTCACAATTCAGTGGGGTTCACATGTAACTTGTTCATTACTAGGAATATCAGCGATGGAGTTACTGAGAGAACATCTTCCATACTGAACGCTTCAGTGGGTGCAACATAAGACAGCAAATACTAGCCAATTACTGAAAGCAATGGGACCAATACTAAGGTGGTACAGTTTTCAGTACTGGAGAGCACCAATCACAGAACAAGGATCCCAATAATAGAAACATTTAGAAATTCCAAATGAGACCCATTCTATCTCCAAACACCACACAATGTCAAAATACCATGCAACAAGCTATATAGCATGGCTGTTTGCACAATACAGAATGATGTGATTGCTGAAATAAACTGTTAGTGGGAACATCTGTGCCACATAAATTGGAAAAATACCATCAGTCAGGACACCAGACTAAACATCAGCAGGAAAGGAAAGGTCATCTGTCAGTCAATGCATCACACTGTAGTTGATTATGATTCGGGAGAGTTTTCTATTCAGATTCTTATATTGCATCCACCCCTGTGGTATCTAAAAACCTCCCCCACTAGTGCATTAAGTGACATGACTAATGTGTGCCACAGATGGAGTTCATTATAGAACAATGAGATTCCAAGACTGCCTCCATCATTGTCATGAACCAGGAGGAGAACAAAACATGCTCTAGAGACACAGGTAATTCAGGCTTCCTGCTGACTGTACAGAAAAGGATGCTAAGCAGCTCCCACTTGAATTTTCTTAAAGGGTTTCAGTTTTGAGCACAGAAATTTGCCTTTCAGTTTTTTCCCCCCCCACCTCCAGGAACTGCCAAAACTGAATCACAAAACCCATTAATCCTATGGGGTTCAGCCTCGCCTTGAAAGGGCACTACTGAAGCAAAATGCTTTAATATGTGGAAGTGAAAAGCAATTAGATTGTCACGGACTAGGTGCAATTATTCCCATAAAAGGAAAACCACACAGAGCGCACACTTCCTCCAACCCTGAAGCCTAAGAAGAGGGGTTTGAGGGCAGGGCTTTCTCTTTGCCCCTCCCTCCAGCTCTCCTGAGGTCAGACAAGACCACATCCTCAAGTGCGTACGCACCCGAGAACTGGAAATAAAAAAAAGCTGACTGATATTAACTTACATAAATAAAATGGTACGGGGCAACAGTCTCCATGAATAGCAGGGTGCTCAAGCCAGGGATTAGACAGAGACACGCTAGGAAGTTTTACATTGTTTGGAACACATTTAATTAAAAATCTATTGTTGTTTAAGAACCCAACACACCTGGGTTTTAATCTGTGTTTCCTACTCCTGTACTTACACTCAAAGACAACAGTTATTTATTTCATTCTGTGGGGCTAGGTGGTATTGGCTCACCTTACCCGACCTGAAGCCTGACCCTAGGGAGCCACAGATTACAGGGTAGACTAGTTCGAGAGAGACAGGGCGGTGGTGAATCTGAGCAGGGAACATGGAGGATCCTCCCCCCCACTTCCCCCTGGACAGTAACTTTCCAGGCCAGCAAAGCCCTGGCACACTCAGTGCAGGGTGACACAGGCGAGCCATCCCCCCGCCTGTGTCCTGGGCATCCTACAAGCCTGGTAGGCTCAGTATAGGGCTGGGGACCCTTCCCCGCCCCGGAGCCCGGCAGAGAACAGGGCAGGGCAGGGCAGGGCAGGGCAGGGGACCAGTCCCCTCCTCCCCTCGCGCTCCTGGCCTCAGCGCCAGGGGCCGGGACTCTTTCCCCGGCGTTGGCGGAAGGATATTGCCGCAGGCAGGAATCCACCTCGCCCTCGTCGGGCCCGGCCTGGCCGTCGCCTCCCTCCTCCTCATCCACGAATTTGTTCTCGTCATACTCATCCACATCTACGCGGCGAAAGCGCGCAGAGGACACCGTGTTCTTCGCCATCGCCCCGGAACCTGCCGGCGCCGCTCACCTCCGCAGGGCGGTGCCCGCCCCCTACTTCCCGCAGTGAGCAACACCGCGCATGCGCAGGGAGTAGAGTTCCTTCCGCCTCTCACTTCCGCCCTCGCGCAACAACCTACGTAATAGCCATGCGCGCGCGCTGTTCCTGGGTGGGCGCATGCGCAACACAACTGCGAGTTTCTTTTTACGCATGCGTGTTTTAAATTCCGCACCCCCTCCTCCACTACGCATGTGTTCTGAACAGACTTCCTCTTTCTCATGCGGTATCCGGCAGGCTTTGCGCGCAGGCGTAGAGAAGGCAACCCTCAAGTGGGCGGAGGAAGGCAGGGTCCGGGGAGGAGCAGGTGAGCTGTTGCGATTGGTCGGCAGGGGGTGGTCACGTGTTCTCCCGGGATGAGGAGGGCCGTTACCATAGGAGCGGTCTCCTGCCGCTAACGGGCGCTGTATGGGGGTGTCGTGGCTACTGGGGGTGAGCGGCGCGGTGCGAAGCTCCCGATCCGGCCCCGCTGGGCTAGGCTGAGCCTCTGCATGCCGGGTGGGTGTGAGCCCCGGGTACGCACCGGTGTACGGGTGTGGCTTATCTCCAGCAGCCACGGTGTGGCCCGCCCCCCGGTCTGTCCTCAGGGGCTACCGCAGGAAGGAGGTCACTGCCCCCCAAGGCCTGTCTCCCCTCCTGCAATGCTTCTCCAGCGCTTTCCAGTGGGACGCCCTTGAGTGCTTCCTGGTGCTGACTAATTCATTCACGCCACCTAGCTCCCCGGGAGAAGGGTTAGCGCTCAGAGCCCCGTTTTGTAGGTGGGGAAACTGAGGCACAGAAGTGCCTAAACTTTCAGCAGTGCCCCTTGATTTTGGCTGCTGCAGTTTCTAGGTGGGCAGGTTTTCAATTTCACTTGTCTCCTTTTTGAGCAGGCATGCTCAGCGTTGCCTGAAATCAGGCTCTTAAAAGATCGAGGTAACTACAAGAATTTGGGCTATGGTGAGTGGCAGAGTTAAGGCCAAAACCCCAAAAACTTGACTCCCAGTTCTTGCTCTTAACTCCAAACAGTAATCCCTTCCTTTATATTGATATAAACATTTTAATCAGTTGTCCTTAATATATATTGAAATTAGATTTGAGGTATAAATTATATTAGTATTGTATGTTAAATGGACATTGGTAAGTAGTTTGAGTTCAAAATCTGGGATTTACAAAAAAGGATTTTACAGAATCTAATATGAATCATAATGCTTTCCTAATACTCAAAAAATATATTATTTTAGGACATTACACTTAGTCCTGTGGTGCTGGGAACCCAACCTCAAAAGCCTTGTGCTAATACATAACAAGGAGAAAGTGAAATTGACTTTAAACCAAAAGTGAAACTGACCAGCCAACTTTTACTGTGCAAGCTGAGTGAAATGCAGAAAGTAATACAGAAATAGTAAAAAGTACATTTAAAAAAACCCTCTGTTTTAATAGTATGACATAAACATAAACAGATAATCTTTTTAAATAAGATTTTTATCATGCATCCCCTTAAATAAATTTGTTCATTTTAAAAATTATTGTATATACATTAAGAAGTTCACTTTAAAATTCCAGTCCAACTCCCACTGAAGTCAATGGAAAAACTCAATTGGGATTGAAGAGGGCCCCAGGGGATTGCATGTTATTAAGATTTAGAAGTAGGGAGTTCTCATACTATGACCCTAACCCTGCAAAGATTCATGCAAGTGAGTTGTCCCCCTGAAGTGAAATCACTTAGCACCTTGCAAGATCAAGTGTCAGGGTGGGAAGTTTGCATCTCTTGGATGCAGAATTTGTGTTGCTATGTTGCATGGACATGTGAGAGGTTAAGTGTTGTTTGAGCCCCTACTGAGGAGTTATGTATGGTAAAGACTAACTCACAATTAGATTCTTAATGCTGTGGTCACAAAAATAAAAAGTGAGTTGGAGAATTGATTTTGCAGAATTAATTGGTATTTTTTTGGTTAAGGTTTCTGTAACAACACTCAAAGCCCCTTTTGCAAGAGATCACAAGTTACCAGCTTTGCTATAGAAAACTGCAACTAAAACACTTTAAATATTAATAATAAATATATTGTATTACAACAGTGAAAGCATTGATCTATAAATCAACTCACTCTTCATACTCTATATGCTATCAGCACCACCTTTTAAAACTTTATATGAAAGAGATCTCTTTGGTGTTCACTCAATTTCATTTTTATATATTTCTAATCTTATATCTTTTTAAAATCTAATTTAAAAATCATATTACATGAACTTCTGGCTGATGAGAGGTGGCAGCCTTGGAGGCTAAAGCCTTTTTTATTCCCAGGACCCTTACCTGAAGGAACCACTTTTAGGGATTCAGGCAGTGTTTGGTCTATATTGTCCCATTCATCCTTGCCTTATGCTGAGGCTTCCAACAAGGATACTAGTTATGCTGACATCTTAGGCTTGGTCTACACTCACCCCCCAAATCGAACTAAGGTACGCAACTTCAGCTACGTGAATAACGTAGCTGAAGTTCGAAGTACCTTAGTTCGATCTTACCTCGGTCCACACGCGGCAGGCAGGCTCCCCCGTCGACTCCGCGGTACTCCTCTCGTCTAGCTGGAGTACCGCAGTCGACAGCGAGCACTTCCTGGTTCGACTTATCGCGTCCAGACAAGACGCGATAAGTCGAACCCAGAACTTCGATTGCCAGCCGCCGAACTAGTGGCTGGGTATTGACATACCCTTATATGATGTGGACACCTCTCCAGTAAAAATCGGATTGAGACTGTCAACTTTATTTATTGTAAGTCACTAAAAGTCATTGGCAGCAGGGGCGGCTCCAGGCACCAGTGCACCAAGCGCGTGCCTGGGGCAGCAAGCCGCAGAGGACGGCCTGCCGGTCGCTGTGAGGGCGGCAGTCAGGCTGCTTTCGACGGCATGCCTGTGGGAGGTCTGTCGTACCTGTGGTTTCGGCGGCTGGTACGCCGAAGGCACAGGACCGGCGGACCTCCCGCAGGCATGCCGCCGAATCCGCGTTACCAGCGGACCGCCTGCAGGCGCGCCCCCGAAAGCCGCCTGACTGCCGTGCTTGGGGCGGCAAAATACATAGAGCCTCCCCTGATTGGCAGGTACTGAATTTTCATCATTACTGGCCTAGATTGGATTTAAACGAGTGTTCTAAAGGTAAAAGTTTCCATATCCTTAACGTCACAGTTTTCTGAGCCATCTAGTCCCTCTGTGTATTAACTTTCATAAGAAATGGATTTACTTTTTTTTTTGCCCTTTGGGATCTGTGGTCTTGCTACTTAAAAGTCGTTCAGTGATTTCTACCACCTGAACGGGTCTTCCATGGGAAAATGTTTGGGAATGATTGGTATCATTAAATAATTCCTTAGGCATCTTTAAATGCCTTACAATATTTTTAGGTTTGGGATATAAATGTTGCCCTTCAAAAGGCAGAAACTTGCTTGTGAAAGGCACCAAATGGCTGTGACTCATCAGTGGTGGCAATCTGCCGTTCATCATTTGTGAAGGTTGCTGAGAGGGTGTGTTAGCAAAATAGTATTGCTGCAAATTCTGCTGAGGTTTTAGATTTGCATATGTTGCCTGGGGAGATGCTTTCATTAAATAAGATTTAATTCCTGTTATGTTGTTAATTTTATGTGAATTTTGTTGGTCAGCTAATGCTCTTGCAGGTAAAATTGGATGATAAAGGGTTGCTTCTGGCATACCGCTCACAAAATTGCAAAGGAGGGAATGCCAGACCCCACCACATAATGGGTTCAAAGTCACATGAGGCCACAAGCTGGCAAGGCTTCGTAAAGCTTCACAGTTCCATATGGACACAGGGAAATCATCCTCAGTGTGATAAAGCTGAGAGAAATAAATACAGAGGGTAATGTCTGGGTACTTTGTCAAGAAGTTGTAGATCTTGCTTATGCAGCAGTGCTCAGCCTCATTACAAGGAGAGTAGTTTGAATAAAGAATTATGTACCCGATGCTGTCGTAGTCATATGTAACTGCATCCAGATAGCCGCCCATCTCAAATAACATGGACTCTGGGTGGATGTTATACTTAATGCAGTTGGTTGCATGGCCCTTTTGGACTAATGTCCCAGAGAAGCTCCTCAGTTCATAGAATATAAGGTGTTTGTTTTGAGGACTCATTAGCCCATATGGGAATCCAAAGGCATTATGAAATCCCATATAAGGGACTCTTGCTTCTTCACCTGTCCGTATATGATAGGGGCATTTGGCACAGCTTTTGCTCAGTGTCTGCCAATAATAGGGCTTTACTACCGTTCCTTGATTTGCCAGATATTCCTGGAACAAAGTTTCCCTTTCTGGGTTCATATTATATTGGGAAATCTCCCCACTCATATTTCTGTAATTGACAATCCTGAAAGAAGAAAAAAGAAACTCGTAATTTATCCCTCCCATTTCCTTTGCTCTTACACTGCAAACATTATAATGCATATTTGCCTCTAAAGAATATGCTAGTGCACAAGTACAGACAAGAAAGCTTTGTGCATTGCAGCTTCAAGTGAAGAGAGGGCAAGTTGGCAATACAGGTTTCAAGATTGTCCTTGTTTTTGCAGCCCTGCCTTCTGTGTTTAAAATAAATTAAACTGAAAATGTCTCTTCCTGCTACTACCTCCCCTCCCACAAAAGTACAAAGTATCTAATAAAAGCATTGCATACTTTTCAGAAATTGGATCACTAGATTTGCTATATACAATCTGAGCACAATCAAATAGTTAAAAAAAGGTATAAATTACCATCAATACATCTCCAGACCAGGATAGTAGTCAATGCGTATGTAGTCCACTTCACAGGCTTTCCTGAGTCCAGTTGTTGATTCCCATTTTAGTCTAATAAATATTACAAACTTCAGGGGGTGGGCGTTAAGATCATTTATTCAATTGAGAAAAAATGGTTGTTTTTTTTGTCTCCCATAGACCAGCTTGTAGTTCTGTTGTATAACTTTACTGAGGCATGGCAACCCTACTAGTCATGGTGAAGACTCTAAAGGCAACCTCATTTTGATGTTTGCAATTGCCAGATGCTAGGATACGCAGACACAAACAAGACTTTTTCATTTGTTTGTATTTCAAACAGTCTGCTGGGTTTAGCTTTCTTTCCTTTGCCTGTCAGTATTTCATTTTCCCTCTTCATTTATTAAGTTCCTTTAATTTTTTTCAGATATTTTGGTATAAGTGGGTTGTGGGGGTGGGGGTGTGTGGGGGTGGAAATAAAAGATGCACAAATAGAATAAACCAAAATATTTATTTGGCATATTGATACCAAGTAACTATTTATTATTCATCTGTAGTGCCAATCCGACAGAGGCACCATTATTTTAGGTATTGCGCATACACGTAACACAAAATAGTCCCTGCTTCAATCTTGACTTTGCTAAAGTCCTTGCATAGGTTTATGGTCGTTGGATCTTTAATAAGTGTGTAAGCAGTCTGATATACAGTGGGCCAAATCATGCTAATCATACTCTCAAAAAACTCCAAATAGGAGTTTTGCATAAAGTAAGCAAGATTTGGCTTAAAAGATGCTCTGGCTAATTATTTTCCTTTGTCAGTTGGATCCAGTCACTTCCTTTTCAAAAAGCTCCAGTGGGCTCCCCCTTTCCCACTGATTCAAGTTTAAATTTCCCATCATTGCTTTCAAGGCCCTGCTTGGCTTTCCTCCTCCTACCTGCATCATGGCTCTTATTACATTCCTGCAAATCCTCTTTGCTCCGCTGACTGGAACTTCACTACTCCTTTTGTTTCCTTGTCATACTCCTGTCTTTGTGCCAAATTCCTTGCTCTTTCCTGTGCATGGAACAATCTCCTGAAGCAGGTCCTCATCTACTTCTCATTTAGGGTCCTCCTAAAGAGTCTCTTCCTGAAGCCCACAAACGCTGTCCTTGTGATCTTGAAAATATTCACTCTGAGTGTCCTGTTGTGTTCAGTCTTCTATGTGTCTGTCTTGATCACTGTAATTTCATCAGGGCAAGGACTCTGTATCCGTCTTCTACACTGATGAGCACATTGGTGCTTAAACAGTAAATAGTACCCATAATAAAAAAGAGTAGTTCTGAGGAAGAAAAAATCCTCAGAGTTTGGATAAACACCTGTTGAGGGGTTTATCTGCACCTGTCTAGACCTCCTGCAGTTTGCCAATACTAGCAAATAGAAAAAAGGTGAAGCATTTGGAGAAAGGTGTGTGTTACTGTTGCCTTCCATGAGCAGCGAGACTGGCCACAAGATGGCATCATAGCACACAAGTGGTGTTCAGCATTTTATACTCACTGGCCATAAGAATGGTTTGAACTTTATTCTGTGGTGTTTGCAGTGTTGCTGTAGCCATGTCAACTTTATTCTGCGTATGCAGTGTTGTTGCAGCCGTGTTGGTCCCAGGATGTTAGCGATACAAGGTGACTGAATTAATATCTTTTATTAGTCCAATAAAAATATAACCTCACCCACCTCGTGACTTTATTATGACATTTAACAAGGTGCTGCCAAAGAGACCATAAGTCTGACCTCTTTCCCCTAAAACTTCGTGTAGCTCTGATACAACAGCAAATCTTCCAGCCTCCCAGATTAGTGCTGCGGTATCCTAACTGAGGAGCTGGGAGCCCCAGGAAAACCCGTCAAGGACTCTGGGTTTAATTGGGACTCTGTGCATGTGACCTGAGTGCATATGTGCATCTGCCCTCTCCTTCCCTGCCAGCTCTGTCCTTGTGAGCCTGCAGGGGCTTAAATTGACAAGGATCTTGCACTGTAGTGCTTCAGGCTGCAGCATTCTCATCAATTTAAATCCCCTGCCAAGTAAGAAGAACAGAGCTGACAGGGGAGCGGAATCTAAATGAATCAGTGAATACAGCAGAGCTCTGCTTCTCATTTGCCACATAGACTATTCTCATAGTAGAGGATTGTGGGTCAAAAGAGGAAGGGTGGCAAAAAAAAAATCAAAAAACCCTCAAGCAAAATGAAACAAAACTGACCACTCAGCAGATTCTGAGGACAAGTCAGCGGCTGTGCCTTGTTTTTTAAAAAGAAAAAAAAAAAAAAAAAAAAAAGAGAGAGAGAAAAAAAAGGCTAGATGCCAATTTAGTTGTACAAACTCTATTTAACTTTCTTAAATGTCCAGGTCTGGTGGATGAAGCAGCTGGTGACCTTATGGAACTCTCCACAAAAAGAAATTTTTGTCAAGTGTACAGCTGTAGTCAATAACACTGAGCACTTACCTAGCACACCTCATCCTCAAAGCACTTTATAAACATTAGCAAATGGTTTAGTGGTTAAAATACAGAATGGTGAGGGGGCACTGACACAGAGTTTGGGGGAGACAAGGCCCTGCACCCCCGGCTTCCTGCGATTCACCATGACTCTCAGCCAGCCAGTAAAACAGGAGGTTTATTTAGATGACAGGAACACAGTCCAAGACAGGTCTTGCAGGTATAGACAACAGGACCCCCTCAGTTAGGTCCATCTTGGGGCGGGGGCCCAGGGAGGCCAGAGCCCCATCTGGGCTCCCCTCCATTTTCCCAGCCAGCTCCAAACTGAAAACTCTCCAGCCCCTCCTCTTCCTTTGTCTCTTTCCCGGGCCAGGAGGCCACCTGATCTCTTTGTTCTCCAACACCTTCAGTTGGCACCTTTGCAGAGGAGGGGCCCAGACCATCAGTTGCCAGGAGACAAGGTGTCGGCCATTCTCTGTGCAGACAGCATCACACTGGCCCCCTAGGGCTCTGCAACAATCACACACCCCTAGACACTCGAGAAATGCATTGGGGAAACTGAGGCACCAACCCAGCACTCAGAGAAAACATTAAGAACATTCCCATTTCGTCACAGGCACTATTCCCAGCATTGCCCCTCTGATTGTGCCCCTGGGCTGGATTGCTTACAGGGACAGTGGCTTCCGATACTGGGAGCCTAATTTGAAACACTGGGTCTGATTTTTTTTTTTTTTTTTTTTGGTAAGTGCTAAGCACTCAGAACTCTAGCTGAAGTTAATGGGTGCTGTGGATGCTCAGCACTTGTGAAAGTCAGACTCAACGTGTTTCAAATTGGACACTTAACCTGAGGCCCCCCAAAGCAGTAATCATTTTTGGTAGCCTTAAAGCCAAATTTTTCAATCCTTACTCAGGAAAAAATGCTGTTGATTCCAATGGGAATTTTGCCCGACTAAGGGCCCAGGGTTTGGTCCTATAGTTCTGTCTGTTTCCCCTTCTGTAGAATGGGGCTATAGTACTTATATATGGCACCTTGCAGAGGCAAGGGGTTGTGAGCCAACAAATTAATATCTGTAAAGTGCTCTGAGTTCCTTAGATTACGCTGTAGGAGTATAAATATTTTATTTATTATGTTTCATTCTGTTTATTTATAACAATTAACCAGTGCACAGGCTTAGGGAACAATAAGGACCCACAGAAGTCTTCTTTTGTTTTGTCTGGGTGCCCCTGTGCCAAGAGCTCTTCCAGCACCCTCTCTTCTACTTATCTGCTTTCCTTATGGACTTAACCCCGTACTGGTCAATGGGGGAATTTTCCATCTGTAGGAGGAACACAGGATTTTTGGGCTGCAGCAGTGTGGGGAGTGAGTCTTTAATTTGGGGGGAGGGGGCGGGGGGAGAGAAATCTGTCAAGTGTCTCTAAAAAATCTGCCAAGTGTTTCTAAAAAAAATCTTTTTGTATGGAATATGGTTACATTGCATAAAAGCATCTTCCTGACATAATATGGTGATAGGCATGGCATTCTCTAGGCATTCCAAACTCATTCCAGTAAAATCTTAAACTACAACACAAACATGTATTCTCTCTATATAGGAATCCCTTCATCTACCCCTGAAATGCAGCCATCTCTAGGGCAAAGAGCAGTTGCCATTTAACAGTGCACAACAGCACTATACAACTGTTTATGGAAGGAAGTGAAGCGGATTATTGTATTCAGTTAAAACTACAGGGTAAATTTAAGTGATCAGCATATCATTACTCAAGTTGGAATTCGGCCAAGACATAGGCCATTTGTTCTTGAGGGAAATATACCAACTGGTCAGGACCTCACTTTTACATCTTCTCCAAATACTAGATGCAATCATGTGCCTCTTCAGAATCTGTCACGCTCCTTACACCCCAATCTATCCCAAGTTTGCCAATTTTGAGTGCAATTACTGATACTGGTTTTATTTACTTAAAATAATAACATGATTTATCGAGATTTCTTTTGCATCAAAGGAAATACACAGATTCAGGGTTTATATAGAGCTAGGCAAAAGTTTATCCAAAGTATAGATATAGTTCCAGAAGTGTGATAGTGAGTTTTTTCTCCATTAATTAGCCAAATTAAAAA